TATATGAATTATTAATAGTATAAATATTTATATTATAGTATACATATAATATACAGTGCTTTGACACACCGCCTTCGAATTGTTAAATGTGCTCGGCCTGTTATAAGACCAAACATTATTACTATTTCAATTATTATTATTTTTAAGTTAGGCATGCACCCAACGTGTTGGTCGCCCCTCGCTTAGAATCAAGGACGCTTCAATGATCTGCAATATGTCTCCAGATAGCTGAAAAATACAGGCTGAGGATCGCGAACTCCATCAAAATTGTCTCTCAGCAGAGATATTAGACGTATATTTCACAAGGTGATAATTAACCAAATAAGAGTAATTAATATGTTAATTAAAATCTCCTTCTTGCTATAATGTCTTTGCAGTCTAATTATCACACTATGAATCCTTGTATGCACTGTAAGCAACACATTTTTGAAAAACTCAATACATTATTTTTGAGAATTGTTGCGATTGAAGGCCAACCACCGGCCGCCAAAGATGTGTGTACCGAAGTGACAACGCCACAGAGACTAATCTGTAATTACGCACGCGTGCTTCTAGTATGCGTATTATCTACGTTGGAGGCTCCGTGACGTCACAATTCTGCTTTCTCATTTTTGCTTGTAGGAATTCTACAGTTATACCACTAGTTTTCATATAGGCCTACCTTTCAATCCCATAATATAAAGTTTATTGTCTATCGCACGATTTGTTTAAAAATGATCGAAAAATTAGTTTGACCTCCAACTAATATTACTTGTGTTTAGTTGCAATGGAGAAGAAAAATTAGTATTTAATTGAATTACTAGCAGACTGTAATTGCAATTGATTGTGATAGAACGACATGGAGCATTGTTATACAGTTAAATGTACTTCAATATTTTGTTTATCTTGAAAATGCACGAACACGCTTACGAAACCCTTGCTTTATTTTTGTAGTAATCACTTACTAATGAAACCATATTCATTTGTTATAATTAACAATCGTGTTTCTCTAGAAATTTTAAAAGGTGTTGAGCATGAAAGGAACTTTAATACCGTCTTATGTCATATATTTTAACTTTGTCATTTTTTTGGGAAGATTTTTGGGAAACATGTCTAAAAATATCTAAAAAATAATTGATTAAAACAAAATGGGTGCCAATTTTTCTTTAGAGAAAAAAATATTCTCAAGTCTGACCATATTTTGCCATCTGAATATCCCTAACTTAGTCATTGAGCATCAAGTGAGATTTGAATTCCCAAGCGGTGCCATAATGGCCCAGTTGGTTAAGGCGTCTGACAGCAGAAGGACCCGGGCTTTCAAATTCTGGTTGGGACGACTGTTTTCCACACCGACACATTCTTCTACAATGTCCAAAAATTACATATATATATATATGTCTTAACTTAGCCAATGCCAATAAAATGTTTAAAACAAGCTTTAATACCAATAAGTAGGTTAAAAAAGGCGGCAATTTTGCATTTCAAAATGGAGGCCCAAGATATGAATGAAAAAATTGGCACCCATCTTTTTCTTAATCACTAATGTTTTTAGTACCAATATATCTACCCAAAATTTTGCTTTTTCTACAGAAGACAACAGACCTACACTTGTAATAATTAAAAACAAATTAATGATATCAAACGTGTATATAATTGTATGACACTGTCATAACAACTAAATTAATGATAATAATAATTATCCTTATTATCACTTGTATAACATCATCCATTTGTGTGACATCATTAAATATATGCCATCTTTCTGGTATAACCCTACTGAAATGATTTGATTTAATTTGATTTGATTTGATTTATTTCGATACCATACATAAAATATACAATGAAGAATTTGAGGACGACTTAAAATGAATAAAATCATGTGGTATCTGGGATAAACCATAAAATTCCCACAAGGGGATTAACCATTAGGGTTTCCTTGAATAATAATATCATCCTCAGCATTGTATGACATTAACTATTGCATGACATTACCCCTCGTGTGACATCATTTTAGTATATTTTTATAACTGAGAGAAACAATGTTTGCTATCTTCCCCTCCTGTATTTCATTATTTATTATATGTCTTCCATTGTTACTAGAATTGTTTATTATTTATTACTTGTACTAAGTCCCTGTTATTCATTCATTATGATGCATTCATTAGTTGCATTTGTATAAATTGTAAATGTTTGCATTATTTAAAAAAAAATAGACTAACTATATACATTATGTTATCTAAGGGTCAAACCTTCATACGTATATATTACGATATATTACTAATACAATATTTGATTTTTGTCTTAATTCTTCCATTAGAGGAATTTAGTAAGAGATTCAATTTACAAATGAAGTAGGCATGTTTGGTGACTTTTAATGTGTTGTAGGATCCCTCGGATCAAGAGCAGTTTACTGAGCGGGCTACACAATAAAGAACACTAAAAGAATTACAGAATAAATAAATAAATAAACGGAATATATCAATAAATAAAATGAATATATAAATAAATACATATATAAACTAATCAAGATGCTGATTAACTGGACACCTTTAATTGTTAAACATTCATTTGTAATGACAGATTTAATTTACAAATACATTAGTTAAGATTTAATGTTTAATTTGTGAATACGTGTTTGCCATAGAATACCTCTGAAGTGTTCCACTGAGAGAGCTACGCTACTGAAAGAATGAAAAATTAATTTATAACACGGACTACCAGATGAAACTCTTTGAACTTATATACATACATATAGGCCTATATATAACCAGCTCGTCTGTTGTTTTATAGGCCTATATATATGTAGGCCTATGTATATATATATATATACATATATATATATATTGATATTATATAAAATATATATTGATTCATTGTAACTTTTAAAATTAATAGTATATTAATAATAGTAACAATAATGATAGTAATACTGTAATAGTACCGTAATTGTTATTCTTATTACTGTATCATAATTACTGTTAATATTATTAAATATTAACGTTATTATATCATTATTATTATTTTCATCATCATTCTCATTATTATTATTATATTATTATTAGTAATATTTAAATGTATGGTGCATTGACCTCAATAACGTTAATGACACAGTTGTTGACACTTGACATTACTAATAAAGTAATACTTGCAGTTGTTGAAAATATTTACATAAGCCTAGAGGTATATATGTATATTTTGTTAAACACATTAATATGCATTAGGGACGCCCACAAAACGTTGGTTAGACTGCTATCGACAAAGCTGCCCACAAGACTTAATTCGGAAATTTTACATAAATTACATCAACATATTATTAATGGTCACTACTGTAACACAGGTACGGTAAAAGAAGAATCATGTCATATTTTGTATTTCATTTGATCAGTGTGTTTTAATGAGATATAATATTTATCTTCAGATTGTCAAATAAATACGGAATCCTCTTAACAATGAACTCCAAAATCGAAATGATTCACAATAAGCTTTGAGGAGATGCCGACGTTGTTGCGCTACGTGTCAACCCAAAACTAGACGGTGCTAAATAATGGACAATCATAACTGACTGATCATTGCAATGAATGAGGCAGCTTCTCGAGGGCATCATATTAAACCGGGTTGAAAGATGATTTAATACATTTTACAAGTAGCCTTATAAACTATGAAATGGTCATATCTTTAATGTTTACAACACACTCTATTTAGTTGATTCTGGGATGTTGTAAATCATCACAATAACGTAGATCTGCACGATCACTTCACATCAGATACATGTCATCTCAAGAAAATAAATCCTTGTTAGTGACATCCTAATTAATGCTAAGTACCTTAAGTGAATCGCTTAATTAAAAGCCTTCGGAGGAATTATTTATATGAGATTTCCATGGGAGATATCAGTGTCACCATTTGCCAGCCCTAATTGTAAACTACTGCACTTACTGGGTTCATTACCTTAATACAGAAAATAAGTAGGACTAATCCAATTAACAAATCCCCTAACTCGAACTGAATGTGCAGCTCTAGGACACTACTATTATGCGATCTAAATAGTAAATGTATATGAAATAATCATGAATCTATAATGACATTTCGTCTCAAATTACGTGTAATATAAGTTCTACAAACTCTTGGCAATATTAAAATTCTACTGTTTTTTTATTCTGACAAGTGAATCCCCAAAAGCTTTGAGGCAAAACTACCTAAGCGCGTCCAAAAACAATATAAAAGTCACAAAGAATTTTAAACCATCAAACCACAATATAATACTATTTTTAGATATGGAATAAATTCTGATTCAATTCACTTACTACTATTCCAAAATATAAATGTAGGATATAAAGATAACCGTTGTTATCTCGCTATTATCGCAAAGTAATAGACCCGTATTTATTGATTGTAAAAGTTTAACGACAGAGATCAAAGAAAATACAGGTTATCATTCCTAATTATACTAAATGAATGGCCTAAAAGTAAAAGGTTTATGTTAGTGCCAATAATTTAACATCCAGATATTAAAACAATCAGTGATAATGGAAGTCGAATTATTTATTGATATTCTATTCATTACGTATTCCTCTCAGTTTCTCGGACTGGTATGACGGCATTGATAATCAACCATCTCATCGTTTTCTCAACCGTATCTCAATTGAAAATTCAAGAGCTTTATTGATAATTCTCTGTTAGTTTTACTGCCCTTACGCGTGTACTTCGAGTAATTTAGCCGTGTTTCGTAAGATGGATACTGTATCGGCAAATGATAAACCGGTTTAGATAAATGTATTGGTAGCGATTTATTAAAGCAAAATCATACATATCAAATGGTATCTCTGAAGTTTATGCAGAGAATGATGGGATATTTACCACCATCCACAAATTAACTTCAAACTGATATTATACACAATTCTTACTTTTTTTTCCTAAAATGCATGATTGAATCTGTCCAATCAAAAGTCGACTTAGAGCGTGATCAGTGTGACGCGTAATGCAGTTGGATTGGTAGCTAACGTGTAGTATATAACTACTGTATTGTAACCCGTTGTTTAAAAAGCAGTTAGAAGTTGATTCGAGCTAACAACCCATCGTCTGTAGCAGTTTGTTTGCTTCCTCATCGGGTATTCTTCAGTAAACATGAAGTCTTTATTTCTATCTGCAGTGTTAGCATGTTGTTTGCTGATAGCACATACCTACCCATTGGATGATGATGAAACGGTAAGTAGACCTTGAAGTGTTAATTTCATATAGTTTTAATTTTGATTTTTTTTAGATTAATTACTAAATACTAAATATTTAAATAATTTTTAAAAATCACTTAACATTTATTTATACACAAAATAAGTTGAAATTTACTATTACTACCGGTATTTTATAATTCGATAAGTCTTGAAGGCAGTCAAAGTGGGTATAGTTTGTCAACAATAACTATATACAAAATAGACCTAATGAAGTTAAGGTAATGATAATGTGTTAATAGTGACTCCGTTTTCTGGATACAAAACTCTATCATACTCCTCATATAGAAAGCTAGTTATTTACTTTGTATTTTGACAAAGACTAACACAATTGACACATACAGATTTTGAGATAACATATTTTTTTTAGAAAAGCTAAAAATGGCAATCTATAAAAGTAGGTCTAGGCCTACACACAATAATGAAGATTACATTACACTAACAACATAACGGTCAGGTGATTTAGCATAAAAATGCAGTGTTTGTAATTCAAATTTAATAGTTGGATTACAAAAATGACACATTTTATTAAAGATACATTCAAGGACACTATTAAGAGAATGCAACACTGTCTCTAGATATTGTGAATCTATGCAGTGCTGTATCCAGACACTGTGAATCGATGATTATATTTAGATATTCATTTTTCACGTGATCCACTTACCAATACACAGTCAGAGTTACTTTTAGTTAGTCCTAAATCCGCCATTATATTGATTACGGATATAATCTGGATTTAAAAATGCTTAACCGGCTAGAAAACAGATTATTCTCTGTATAATACACTTGCCTATTTTCAAGTGCGTTTTTCCATTACATCAAAAGCTAAGCGACTCTAGGTAAACGACTTTCAATGGTGCCATTGATTCGTCCTATATCATCAATATCATTAGGCCGCGTGATCAGTTGGCATCACTTGTAAGTTATGATGATACATGATGCAATACATTTTCCCCATACGCATGCTCATAGTGATAACCACAAAGCCAAATATTTAATAATATCGTTGTCAAAATGGTGTATGAAAATAATAATTTACAGATAATCCATGACATAAAACCGACGACAATAACATAAACAGCCATGCATTATGAAGTGGAGCAGGCAGTAACTTGATTGTTACGATTCTCACCAGCCTACCTTTCTTTATGTTTATTTATTTATTTTATTTAAAATATCTTTATACAGGATAACATTTCAGAATGAACTGGATTTAAGTTTGAACAGAAAAAAGGTCTTGGATTTGAATTCTGTTGGCGGAAAAATCGATTTGTTGTAATTTCAAAAAGTTATTGGGCTTATTACCTTCATATATTTAATGAAGGTGTTTCTCCATACTATCAAGTAATCTATCTATTAATAATTGCATATTACGCAATATATTTATATATAAATATATATGTATATATATATATGTATATATATACATACATAT